ATTTTTCCAAAGAAATTGTTCCTTTCTTTTCAAATAAAAGCAATCTCTTCATCCAGCCCACTCTCGATCACGAAGCAAAGTGAGCGCGGCAGCCCAAGACTCTTCTTTGCCCGATCAAATTCGCAGGCCTTTGCCGGGCATATCGGGGTCTACGCGCGCAGGGGTTTTGCTCCGCAGCTCCGAAGCAAAATGCTCTCGGCCGTGTTGGCATGGCAATATATTTTTACCTCTGTGGTGGAATCGGTTACTAAGAAACAGCATCCATTCAATCAAGACGCAGCACCACACCGACGGGGTCATCCGCTAACAAGGGAGACGGAGCGCTTTGTTCCTGGCGACGAATGTGACTGGCGCGGCCGAGTGCTTCCCAAGTCAAGTATAATCGCGCACTCGTAGTTGAGCACAAATGTGACCGGCAAGACAGTTGTTGGCGTCGTGCGCTTGATTGTCCGTCGAGTGCGCGACAAGACAGGAGCACGGGGAACCCTTTGAAGGGGGGCTTTTCAACCTGACCTGACACCCAAGTCAGGTCTCCAGGCCAAGTCATGAGCCTTCGGAGTCTGTGATTTTTGCTCCCCGAGCGCTTGGTGCGTCGACGCTCAGCTCTCAGGCTGCATGAGCAGACGGTGTCGTGCCCTCTGAGGAGTGCCTTGCTTCGGGGCAGCTTGGCAGAGCTCGGGGAGCAAAATAGCACCTCTCCAGGAAGCTACGTTTGGTCGTCTCCCCGCTGGAGCCGACGCCCTCGCAGACTGAGCTCCCGCCAATGAGTTGGAGGTGTCCAGCGTTGTCCACGATTGTCCCCGTCTCAGGTGGACCAGGGTCTGCAGACAGGCTTGACCCCAGGCATGAAGCTGGAGGTGCGCGTGCGCTCGGAGGCCGACGCTCCTTACTGGGTGGCCAGCATCATCGCCACGTGCGGCCAGCTGCTGCTGCTCCGCTACGAAGGCTACCAGGACAACCGCAGCGCCGACTTTTGGTGCGACACCATGACGGCCGACCTGCATCCACTTGGCTGGAGCCGGCGGCATGGCAAGATCATGAGAGCCCCTGACGGTGAGGCCCGCTTATAACCTTTGTCCCTCCATCCATCCGTTACCTGAAACGGCTTCATCCTCGCCGAGACGGTCGGGAGGCAGGGTCCGCCCCCATCTATGTAGTCCGCCGCGCATAGACCAACAACCGTTCGCGCTCACGCTCACACCCAGGGACAATTTCGAGTGTTCCGGCAACCTACCGCGTATGTTTTTGGAATGTGGGAAGTTCGATGTGCAAAGAGGACCGCTGGCGTTACCTTTGGACACAAATTCTGACGCCACACTTTGTGCAAATAATTCTGTTATCTGGTTGTTTCGCACTCACTGTTCTGCACGGCGGTCGACCGGTCGGTGGGATATATATTTGTATTGTATGAACTGTAAGTCATGACCTTGAGTGTAGTCAAGTTATGAACCTGACGCTTTATTATTGGCCTTCGTTGTATGATCGCAAATTGGCGTCGTGTGTTGGTGAGCTTCAAAGTGAAATGGCACTTTCAGCCATTTGTTGAACGGTTCAAACAGCCGACGAGAACATTCCCAGGGAGCTCACATCACGACGCTCGCCCGGGGGACTGACTGGCCATGGTCTCGGTGTCGCTCATTAGGCCACACCCCTTCAAAGGCAAGCACACACAGCCGAGCCCCCCG